TAGTTTTCTGACAAGGTCAAAACAGTGATTTTTGCCTGTTGGAGTTGGCCTAAGCCCCTACAAAGGAACAATTCACATATGGTTCTTCTTTAGGCTGAGTGCGGTGATAAGTTCTTGCATCTGAAACTTTCCTACTGTCATTTTTGGCATGGTGCCATCAGTTGCTCAAACGCACTGAAATGCCGGCTTTTAGGCTCCGTCTTCTGTGAGGTTTATGCTGATAACTATTTTTCCTTCTAATAAAGAAGCTTTGTCTGTTACAGTACACAGTATTCTACAAGATGGTCATGGTTCCACTTCCACGTAGGACGCCAATGGGATGATCCAAGTTGTCACCATGTCTGTTGCTCCTAGCCTCATAGACCATGTGTGGTTAATGTAGGAGTAGAACTGTCAGGATGGAGTCATCCATACATTCTCAGATGCTAAGGCCCCGCTCGTAATCTCTCTGCTAACGGAGTTGGTGGAGCTCGGTCTTCGCAGCTCCGTTAAAGCGAGGTCCACTCCGGGAGCAGAGTTCAAGAGAGCGGAGAGGAACCGAACGCTCCCTAAATATTGTCATATCCACATAATTGCAGGTTGACCTACTTCTTAGCCTTTTTCTATTTTCTAGCAATGAAAACACTCCATCGTCTATGTAGAACAAAAGGATATCATAATGGAGCACAATTATACCTTATTTGCAGTGAGGTTAAGACTGATGACTGAGTTGCTGGGAATGGCAAGCATGTTCTCTCCATGATTTAAGGTAGCCTGACGCTTCTAGTTCAGATGAGCCATCCAAGCCCTGAGAACTCCAACGATTCAAATAGGTTTCATCCAAGCCTCGAAAACTCCCAAGGTTTTGAATGGGTTGATAAAATACCATTCTACAGCACCTATGCCACAGTAAAGAGGGAGCAACCAGTTAACGAGCGCTCCTTCGGGAGCCTCGCAACGATCAACTCCACTTGGCGCGCTTTCAGCCATTTGCCACGTGTCGCGTTCTGGACGCTCCCTCCGGATTTTGTTTTTATTTTATTTTTCCACACGTGTTTTCGGTTTTTTAAAAGTTGTTCTCGGGTTTTTTTGACGTTTTGGTTTTCCCCCGGTCTTCCTTAGCTCTTCGATAAAAAAAATCAAAAAAAAAATTTTACACGAAAAAAACACATTTTCTTTTTTCTTTCTTTCGCGAAAGTCACGGTTTTTTTCCGGGAGAGTCACAACCGTGCCTTTCGGAAACGAAAAAAACGTGTTTTCTATTTTTTTTTCGCGAGAGTCACGATTTTGCTTTCACGAGAGGCAGGGCCGTGCCTCTCGGTAACGGAAAAAACAAAACGCGTTTTCAGTTTTTTTTTCCTTTCGCGAGAGTCACGGTTTTGCTTCCGCGAGGGGCACGGTTGTGCTTTCGCGAGAGTCACGGCCGTGCCTCTCAGAAAGGGAAAAAAATATGCGTTTTCTGTTTTTTTTTCTTTCGCGAGAGTCACGGTTTTGCTTCCGCGAGAGGCACGGTTGTGCTTTCGTGAGAGTCACGGCCGTGCCTCTCGTAAACGGAAAAAAACACGTTTTCTGTTTTTTTTTTCCTTCCACGAGAGTCACGGTTTTGCTTTCACGAGAGGCACGGACGTGCCTCTTTCGGAAAGGAAAAAAACCGTGCTCCGGTTTCGGTTTTTTCACTCGGTTTTTTCGTCCGGTTTTTTTCGTAAAAAGAAAAAGTTCGTCAAAACCTATCAACATGAGATCTAGTTTTGAAGATCTCGACGCGAGGAATCCAATAGTGAAAACGGTTCGAGATTTGGATACACGGTTTAAAAGATAAAATATTTTGAATAAACGAATCTATGAAAAAAGGGAAAACTATCAGGTTGCGACAAGTGAGTGTTCTTTGCAACGAGTACTTCTTAATTAGTGATTTCGCAGTAAAGAACCTCAATATGGCGCAACAATTGAGAGTTCTTGTTTCAACTTTCAGAGTTGTTGTTTCAACTATGTTCCTATTTTTTTCACTTCAAATTTCATAACTGGGCCGGGCATTGACCGACTGGTAACTTCCATCAGCAGCCCATCATATTATCATTTTCACTAAATTCTGATGATATTCAGCTTGCATGATTCTTTCAAGCAAGTAGCTTTAAACAAATCTGGGAAACGAAAGGATGTAAGAATAATAATCAATTACATGCCCAAGGATAGATCATCATGTTGAACCTGCAACTATGCCGCAGTACGTGCAACTGCATGCATATGCAATAAAATTAGTTATTACTACACTGCAAAATGGTCAAATTACCAAGAGAAATGTTTGAACATATACACAGCAAAATAAGAGGTGGACACTTCCCATTTCACTCACCCAAATAGTACTGTACTACATACTGGAGAAGAGTGAACCTATGAACTGCAATAAAGCTTAAGCGGGATTTTCAATCCTACTGCCTGACCGGCCACAGATAACCATGCTGGCAAGTATTGCAGAGATCGATCCTTATCTCCCAGTTTATGAAGAAGCAACTTCATCCAGTCACTGGTTCCACATGGATGCAGGGTGAACCATGGCCTACTTAGGTGGGGATGCTCCTGTAGGAGTGCAAGAACCGCTCATTCATTTTTAGTGAGTCTAAGCTTTCAACTAATTAGTAAACAAGAAAGCATGTATGTGTATTACATATCATTATCAAGAATCGGTTACAAACAGTCCATACCTCTCGAGTAATAAATGTCCACTTTGATTTGTTTAACAACTGAAGTGAGTGAGGAGGAAGATCCTTTTTTATCTCATCTAAAGTTAGTAGCTGCCCACCTAAGGACAAGTTGCAGATGTTGGCTATCAAAAAGGAGAATAGAGGAAGTAAATATCCACAGTAATGTTCTGAAATGTGCATACCAGCCTGAAGGCCTTGAAAGTATAGCACCGGAACCTTGTAAGAAAAGCTGTAGACAATATGGAAATCATAAAGATGAACATTATCCCTAGAGCTCTGAACCTGCAAAGAGAAAGAAATCATGGCTGGCGCATATTAAAATTAGGAACTCAAGATTTTTGCTTTTATAAGAAATTGAAAGTTTATCGCGAAAGAAGGATCGCAGTTATCTCCGCCCTTGCCGAAAAAACTGAGAAATAGTACCGGTAGCTTTTTTTTAGGGATACTAGTACTAGTAGCTAGTATATGATGCGAGGCCAAGGTGATCCTTTCTATTCCATGCTTTACCACCCCAAAATCACAGGCACAAATGAAAGAACTAAATTTGGAACACGGCATCATGCATCACTATCGGTTGCTCCAAGATATTTACATTTCTCTTTCATGTGTGCTCATAATAGATTTGCGATGCAAGTCACTGAGTCTCTGGGGCATGATCAATTCAAATTGCGGACGTCCACAGAGTATTTGGTGAAACTGTTATATTGTTTATACAGGATAAATATATAGTCTGAAAATATGAAACGGCTCGGGTGCAGAGCAATGTAATATAGCAACATGCTGGCAACAGAAACATATGATAGTGGAGAAGTAATACCCACTGAAAACTTACCAAGGTATCATGCTCTGCACCATCATCAGGGACAGGGTCGTCACTGCTCTCCTCAACCTGTTCCAGAAGGAAACATTCAGTAAACAAATTACTAAAACGCCAACTTCATATTGCAGTACTATCAGATAGCCAAAGAAAGAAACAGCCCGCCCACCTGGCCTCCTGCACGAATTCGGTACACTCCTTCAAGAGCTACGAACCCCTCTGTCTGCAGAAAACAAGCCAGTCCATGGGCATAAACCTAAGTGACAGAAAACATAACAGCAGAGATAACACAGAGATGAGGTGGTCAAGTCTGTCGAGCATCTGACCTCAGATGGCACCCCCATCTTGCAGCAAGGCCTCCACTCCCAGTCGGGAAGAGCGTCGACGTCGATCCCCCTCCACTTGGTGACCAGGGCCTTGGCTGAGGCGTTGAACTCGTCGAGAGACAGAGTCCCGTCGCACACGGAGGAGCCCCCCATTGCGAAGACGAGCGCGGCAAGCAACGACCAACGAGGCAGTCAAGTATCCCCCCCTGGCTCTATTTGGAAACGGAGATGCTGCGGGATCGATCGGGATTTCGTCGGCGATCCGGAGTCCCGCGGGCTGCGGTGTTGTGCTCGGAGACGACCTAGTCCTTCTCGAATTGGACTGGTGGTGGGCTGCTGGCGGTCTGCGCGGCGGGCGGGGACGGAGAGCGCGGGGCTGTTGCTGGATAGGAGGCGCGCGCGGCTGGGGCCGCGGCGTCGCCGAGGTGGGAGGTGCGTCAGCGATGGCTCGTCGGCGACGTGGCTCCGACTCCGGCGGAAGAGTAAAGATGTGTACTGTTGCACGTTTCTAAAAGAAACCCTGATAAACTGGATACCCGGCGCACGGAGTCCCGGGGAGAGAGGTGGAGGTTTACGAAACGGCCCTTCAAGAACCTCGTATTACATTCTTTGTTTCCAAGGTTCATCTGATCTGCCGTGCCGGCCCATGCAGCAAGCTCCCCGGCTCCGCTGCAATGCCACTGCAACCGCACCTACGACGTGTAACATGCGATGTGCTGTACCGCCGCCCACGGTGGACGATGGACATGGACGGAGTGGAGGTCGCTACCGGGGAGGAAGAGGAACCACCGAACCGGACCTGTCTGTGCAGCACAGGCGCCCCGCTAGGGCAATAACCATGAACATACATGTCGCAGCCTTTTCTCAGTTCTACAACACACACTGCCCATACACCCATCACGAAACGAAAATAGGGCACAAGTGAAAAAGTTTATTCATGCTTCTAGAAAAATGTTTATTCATGCTCTAGACTTGCAAGTTTCTTGCGGGCAAAGGCGAACAGGCAATCAGAGTTCATATATAGAGACCAAAATAATTTGGAAACGACACATCAAACACTAGCCTGCAGCAATAAAAAAGAAATTTTGAAACAAATGTGGGGGAAAAAAAGAACTCCGACAGCCGCGAACAGGGGAGAAAATCTTGCTGGCTCGCCGACCATAGCATCCGGTGCCATCAGGCTAAGTGATGCCGAAACAGTGAGGCCATCTCGATCTACAGCAGGAGATGAGAGTTCGTCAGATGGACCATGAAAATATACGGGTTTGATTCACTTCCCAAGCAAATGGTGTACTTACAGCAGTTATGGCGGTCTCAGCACCTTTGTTTCCAGCCTTGCCACCAGCACGGTTTAGCGCCTGCAGCATGGATGTGCGTGATTTAGCATTTATTTTCACACAAGATTGGTTAGGCAAGGACCGAAGCAGACAGAAGCAAAACGATCACATCATGCGCACGGCAATTGCGCCATAAAGAATGTAGGACAATTACTTTACAGGACGCATATCAACAGGATTGCTTCGCTTATCAGCATGTGCAAGCGGAGAGAGGCATCTTCAATTTGAGTTGACATATTGCTTAGGAACATGAACAACAACATCCAAGTTACCTCCTCCAGAAATGCTATTCTTCTGATGGTAGTATCATTCATGGTACAGTAAAACTAGCTAACTAAAGTAAATGGGTGAAACAGTTACCAGACAGGATGCAGTCTTATGCTTTTATGGAACATTTCAGAAGATATGTATGTTATTGAAATTGATTTGCAGATTAGAGGCGACACAACCCACTATTATGCTGTTGCAAACTAGCTAACAGAATCATGAATTACCTGGTCCATGTCATCACAGGTCAGAACACCAAATACGCAGGGGACGCCTGTGGTAACATTAGAGAAGCAATTAGCCAGATTCTGAACTTTAAGTAGCTGCAAATTGTAATCACCAGACAGAGAAAACAACACAGGGTAAATTCGTCGGATGTCACAATTTCGAACCCAATAATCTTTACTCACACTGGTCATTGGGTACATAATTCTCTAAGTTATACGAGACATGCATGGATATCTGTAGCTGTTTTAGCTTTGTATGTTCATTGAGCATCAATAATTATCAAAAAGTTTCCCATCTGGTTATACCTATCAACAACTGGAAAATTAAATGTGAACCCATGTCCATATGCACCCTTAGTGACCTTACTAACAAGAAATACAACAACTGGAACATACATGGACTCACAGAATAAGTTCTCTACAACCCAACTGGATTGATAAAAGGAGTCTAAGAGATAAAAGCAACATACCAGCAGACAATCCAGCATTGAGTACACCAGAAGCAGCAGAGTTTGCAACAGCATCATAGTGGGTTGTGTCACCTCTAATCTGCAAATCAATTTCAAAAAAGACCTTCAAAATCAAAAGAGCATCAACACGATAACTATGGGTTTGCGAAGCATAGGTTTTAGCTGGTATTACTATGACAACTACACGACCAGCACGATTAATAGAGGGAAATACTTAGCAAACTTGATATAAGCTAGCCTTACACTGCTTAAAAGACAGGCAAGTTGCAGAATCATGGTTAAGTGATGTTAAAAGACAATAAGATATATGTGAAAGTCCTTACACTGCTTAAAAGATAACTTCCCACAAGTTACATAATCATGGTTAAGATATGTTAAAAGACAATAAGATATATGTGAAGGCCTCCTAAAGACAGTTATACATGTAAATAGAACATGTCAGCAGCATATAGCTTATCCAGATTTTTATTGTGATTTTCTGATTTCTAAATTACAGATAATGCGATAGCCTCTACCTCATAGACAGCGGAAGAATAAGAAAAGGGCATAAAGGGGCATAAAAGTATGCTGTTCTCATCAACTTTTGAGATTTAATCATCTGACAAAGATACAAAAAAGACTTACCACAGCCCCAATGCACAAAATTGCATCATACTTTCCAGACTTCCCAAGCTTCTGTGCTGCAACAGGAATTTCAAAGCTGCCAGGAACACTAACTACCTAAAAAAGATGTTGAAAATCAGAGTGATGCATGGAAAAATGGTTGCATAACTTAGTTAGGACTTAGTTGTTTTAAACAGTGTGCAGATGAAGCATCATGTACTATGCATATCGGTGTAGATTTATTTATATATGAGATTTCTAAGAAAGGCTTTAGATGGAAACATCCCATTTAAAGATGTATATCATGACAAATATATTGTTAGAGTGATAAAATCGTTATATTAGTGATCCTACACCATTAAACAACCACCGTGTAAAAAGTTCATCAAAGGTGAAGATCAAAGCAGTTAATAAACACGTATACATAAATTATATATGTTGTCGAAGGAACAGGAACAACACATTAACCCTGCGAAGTGGTTAAGTCATCCAACAAGAGTGTGCGCATGCTGAATTGGTGATTCATGGGCAGTAGTTCATGAAACAAGTGTTTTGGTATTTACATGGCAAGAAACTGGTGAGCAGACAGGAGAATTCGTTTGTGCTAGGGAAAACATCACCTCTTTAACAGCCGAACACAGGATGGGTTGTTAATGAGGTTCAAGATATGTTTGCATTTCAACATGGCCAAAAGTAACTTCGATTTAAACAAGTGGATAAAAATACGCACAGTGACATTTTCTGCTTTGATAGAGTATCGCTCGAATGCCTCTAGAGCCCCCTGCAGAAGCAAGTTGGTCACTATCTCATTGAACCGTGCCACAACCTGCAGGTCGATTAAAGAGCCAGAGTTAGACAATGGAAAGGTAAATGGTGTTGAAAAACAGGAAAGCAGTGGTTCTATTTGCCAAGTATTTCCCTCTATCAATCATGCTCGTAGTGTTGTTGTTTCCAGTGATTCTTTTTATTTCTAGTTATAAGTTTTGTTCATGGGCAAGATTCTATTAACCTTAGTTCAGTACAAGTTTTATCTCCGGTGGTTCTATTTCTGGTTATAAGCCATTAACCACCTATCTCTTATTCAAGTAAAGTCGCTCACTGGCCAAGAGGTACACAGAGGAGCAATCAATCACTCACCACGGCGAACCTGAGCCCCTCGGTGTTGGTCAGCGACCCCATCAGCCGCTGGTGCCCCGCGGCGGCTGCGGCCACGACGGGGAGCCGGGAAGCCCGAGCATCCGCGACCAGCGCGGCCGGACGAGCTGCACGAATCAAACGGCAGAAATCAGAAGCAGCAGGCCGCCGAAAGAGCAGCGGTCGAGATGGTGAACAGGAGCGTACCGGAGTTGGGAGACGGGAACGAGACGGCGCCGGCTCTGGGAGCGCGCAGGGGCGCGTTCGATAGCCGCGCGAAGGAGGTGGCCCTCGCGGCCGAGGACGATGTTGCCGGTGAGGCCGCCATATCCGCTTAGCCGCCGGTGGTCGAGGAAGATCTGTCTGCGGCTGCTACTCGAGTGCGGTCGTGGGGATGTCAAAGATGTGTTGCCTTTTCACCTGTGCAGAACTGCAGTCCAGGTTAGGTGCGTTTCAGAGTGGCATTTTGGTCAAAACGATGTGCTTTTGGTTGAATTTCACTCCAAACCAAAAATACGAAGTCAAAATTTGGAAGTTTGAGAAACGAGATTACCAAATTTTAGATTAAGAAAAAATTCTGGAATCGTAAGGCAAATGAAAAATTGTATGATCCGACGGCTGAATACTAAATGAATTTTATATTTATATATTTTCAGAAGTGCAAGAACAAAAGAGTCCTTGGCCTCTGTCAAATCGGTGGTAATATTACTGTCATCGTTATCTTGGATTAGCCAGTTGGTTAGGTTCATTGTGGTGAAATCTTCCTTTGCCTTTGTCTAAGAAAATCGAGAATCTTAGTGCAAATAAAATGAAATTCTGACATTCAAATACTAAATGGTAATGCTATCTGGCTGACCTTCCCTTGGAAGGGGATGGCAAACAAACGTTGTTTGTTGGCAGTTTTAGTTGCGACACATGATCAAACGATAGCAATTTCTGGTCGTTTTTGCTCAAAAAAATTCTTCCCAAAAGTTGCCATGTTGTTCTGAAGATACTGTTAACCCTCATACAAACTGCCAGCAAAACATTCGCAAATGTCACCCCGTCCCAGCGAACGTTCGTCAGATAAGATGGTCCATATATTAAAAGAAAATACATTAGATTCGATCAACTGATAACTCTCCACACAACGACCTCTATGGTAATCGGGTCTGAGTTTGATCAGACAGCCCGTAGCAGCTTTCGACGGAAGCACAACAAAAGCCTTGTTGCAAAGGTTGGCACACCTCAACAAAAGAAAAAAGTTTGACAAGGAGTGCAATAAGGCTTCTTTTGCAAAGTGTCTGAGGTCAAGAGAAGCCTTGTTGCAAAATGCTGACACGCATCAGTGTGAGCAAGGTTGGACGGTCGTGTTGCACTCCATCTAACGCCTGAGGAAGCGTATGATCTTATTAGTTAAATTAGTTTATACTCCCTTCGTTCCAAAATAGATGACTCAATTTTGTATTAATTTTGTACTAACTTTATACTAAAGTTAACAGAGGGAGTATTTTCGGAAGTGCAAGAACATGAAATCTTCTATCAATCAACGGTAATATGACCATCACATAGGTGAAACCTATCCATCTGGATTTAGGTTCTAAAAACTTAACACAACTGCTAGCATGTTCCTGTTCATTCAGTGGCACGGCAGCAACTATAGATCGGCTTGGGCATGGCTGAAAAATGCTTCGGATTGGTTATATTTACTCCCTGCGTTTCATAATGCAGTGCATATAGCTTTTTTGAAAAAGTCAAATCTCAAACTTTGACTAAGCTTTTGAAGAAAAATGTTTACATCTAGAATGTCAAGTATATATCTTTAGAGTAGTTTCATATTTGTATATTGGATAGTTATTCCTATATAAACTTAGGTTCAAGGTTTGCAATGTTTGACTTCTCAAAAAATCGATGCACTACATTATGAAACAGAGAGAGCATCATTTTTGGAAGAATTATTTTCATACGCTCATAAAAGATTCGCTAAAGACTGCATACGCAAAATTCGCAAAAAATGTGACTACAAGCACAACAATCCATCACGAAATTCCAGCAGCAAACACACGGATAAAATCACAGGGTCGCCGTGGAAGGCCCTGCGACTGGTTGAGCCCAAACTTTAGCCGCATATAAAGTTTTCCTTCTCTTCATCAATTGTCAACATGGCTCATCACACCCGTCATTCAGACTTTAAAAGGCACAGGTTAAATTTAAACCAGACACAGGAAGGCCACCTCCAAAGCTGTGGAGGCAGCAGCAGGCAGGCACCCAGAGACATATTTTCTTTTCCTCACTAGGGCTAGAAGATGGTATAAGCCGATCCAGGCTATCTAAGGAGACGAATCGAGCTTTTGGACTTTGTTAGCCCTTTCATGGTTGTCAGAGTGGCGACCACCCCGCTTCCCACCACCGTGGTGCCTTCCGCCGCCACCTCTGTTGTTCTTCCAGTCCCTGGGAGGTCCACAGCAAGAGAACAACAGTGTTATCTCCTGAACAGGTTAAGCAAAAAAGAAACACGGCATACGGTTTGCCCTACCACTAAAATGTTTTCAATCTGGACCAAAGAATTCCGTACGCGTAGGCTTATAGAGATTAAAATTTTGGTGGTGGACAACATTATTCTAGACACAACTATGGTTCCTTTCTTGCACAGCATTAGGTTTTCTTCTTGATGAAATTTCAATAGCTACGATCCATTTTATACCCAGTTTATCCTACAACGAGAGAAAAATTAAACAGCATCAACTATCAAATGTAAAAACATTATAGTACCTTCCTCCCCTGTTGCTTCTATTATTGTTATTGAATCTCCCTTGGCCGCCCTTTATTCCACTCCAATAATCTTTCTCAGCTTGTCCTGCATTGGAATAGTAGGTTCATCAAATAGAGGTTAATCATAACCTTCAAATCTGATAAATTATACTGACATTTCAATACCCAGTTTAACTGATAGTTTTACAGGAAAGAACGGAGCACAACGATGAAAATTATTTCAGGCGTAAAGCTTTACTATCCAAAACTCACGTTTGGATGAAAAACAATTACTACATGTAACATCAATTACATTCATATTGTCACACACATAAACTACAGAACCAACAGGTACTATAATTAGGAATCTACTTGCATCGTGATTTTAAGTTACTTCATTCAATAAGACCCCCCAAAAATTGAGAGAAGCTGAAGTATTTACCAGACACAGGTTCCAAAGTGACAAGGTGCCCCTTCATAACCAAACCACCTTCATCCGCAAGAGCTGCAAATGCACGGGCCTTTTCCGCAGCCGTCGATTCCTCAAACCTAAGGTATCCTGAAATATCCCCCTTACTGAAGTCCACGTACTTCAAAAAGGGAAGAAAATCAAGAGAAATATTAAAGTTTGGTATTAACAAATGTCATGTGATAGAGAATTGTGTTTAATCGAAGATGTTACAGAAAATACAAAGCGAAGATATATAATTTCAGAATTCATGCGTAATAGCCTTCTTCAGGGATGCATATAACATCCTCGAAAAGATTAATAGATCGTCTTTTGTATTCCCTAAATATGGTTAGACATTATTCTTGGTATTGTCCAGTTAACCAGATAGGTGTGCAACATCTAGTGAAAATGAATTAAACTTCTCAAATACATTTTCAAACCTAAGAAACATTTCTGCAACAGTGACCTAAATAGAATCAAACCACAGCATTATTGGCAGCGAACAATTAGAAGAACTGGCTGTGTATAACAATATCTTGTGATTTACAGAAGTACATGATTCTACAACTTCACAAGAAATAAAAACCAGCTCAGTGCATGTTTGGTAGTGGTTCCGCAATATCTGGTAAACCATAGATGGAACTGTAAATGAAATTTGCATGTTCCAGACATGTTACGCATTGAATTGCTAAGATAATCCAAAGGTGGAGGTGCATGTGAGTTGAACATCATGAGTGACATTTTTCTGTGCAGTAACCTAATTCTGTGCTTGTTCCAGCAAGCTTGGGAGTTAAAATTTTCTTTACTACAAAACCTAAGGTGGAGATACAAGTGAATCAAATATTATGGCAATTTAAATTAAAACTTCTGATTTCTCTGCTTATAATTTTAGTAAGCTTAAGAGTATAAATCTGCAATAACTTCACAGAAAAACAGGGTATCTTACAGGTCATATACTCACCTAGTAAAAGTATGTAAACAAAGATTGCTAGTCATGGTATGAGAACAAACTGTAAAGAAAAAGGACCGCCAGAAATCAAATTACCCGCACTGTGCCAAATTTGGCAAAATATTCTTTGAAGTCCTCCCTTGAAACTGGTTCCTTGTCATTTTCTGAAAGGCTTTTATCATCCTTTTTAACAGATTGTGCATCCGACCCCTTCAACTCCTCAGCATCAGCTGACTTCTCTTCCTTGGCATCAGTGTTCTCAGGGGCCTTCTCTTCAGAAGCTTTCCCCGATTCCTCCGAAGAGTCGGAAGCCCCTTCCTTCTTGGCATCATCGCTATTATCAACTTTGTCCCCACCATTTTGTTCTGTGTCACCATCAGCTAGAATTCTCTTCAGCTTGAAAGACAGAATCAGACCTTTTGGGTATCTATATAACCAAATATTGATGATTCACAGGGTCAAGTCAAACTCTAGAAACTAAAAATAATATGTTACATATTGTTAGTACAGAAAGTTTACCCTTCGTCATGACCGTTCTTATTAGCGTGTGTATTAGGGTGCGACTTCTCATAAGCTTCTTTCTTAGCCTCCATTTCAGCATCAAATTCCTTCCTGTAGTATGCCAACATTGGATAACACGTTATTGATACATAGTTACAAATAAAGTCAGCAATGTGAAAACTATAGACACTGCATTCATGATTCTAAATGTAAGAGGAAATGACGTAGCTATCAATCATCATGACAAACAGTACAAAATCTTGCATCTAAGTATCTACCAACATCAATTGATAAAGAAAGAGCATGCAAACAAATATATTTGGAATAAGGTCAAAGAATGAGAACATAAATTCTGTCACTGGTAAAATGGTAAGCATGAGAAAAAAGAGCTTGAATCAGTAGTTAGCATACTTTGTTTTTATTTCCAGATCCGCTCCAGCAAAACTAAGTTTGTTATTCATGATATTGTTCGCTTCATCTTCTTCCGAAAATTCGACCAAAGCTGTGCCGCAGAACTGCCTCTTGTCAGAAACATGTTTTGGTAGCCTTACGCTGTTAACCTGTGATGCCAAAGTTCAGAAACAACATAGCACCATCAGCATTTCTGTTACACGATTCATGTATTTATAGTGATGCTGCGTCAACTTGCAAGTTTGCCAAATTAGCATACCAATTGAATATCACATGCATAGTGCAT